CGTTACGTATCAATAGTTGCTATTTAAGATAATTGTTGATAAATGCGTATAATAAATACTACTTAATAAATACGTTATGTAAGTTTAAAGTCTTTTATACATTATGCACTTTGCATCATAGTTGCTGAGTAAGAATCACGTAATTTCAAATACATTGCAAGCCAATGTAAAAAGAGATTTTCCTGTAAACAGATGATAAAATTTTATATCGAGAGATATCAAGATATCAACTCTTGTACAATCTATATGTGTGTGTGCGTACATATGTGTGCCTGCGTGCGTGCGTGTGCGCGCGTGTGTTTGTGTATATTTATTTTTTTGTGTGTGTATTATATATATATTGACATCTTTCACTGCAAAATTATATTAGCTGTTTGCAGTTTATGAGCACATATTTGATATCGTAATATGGCAAAGATTAAAATTTTATCATTAAATGTTTACATAATAATTTTTATTCTTTTCCTTTTTCTCTCTTTTAAACATGATATAATAAAAAAAAAAAGATTCGTTAATATATTTTCTAAAAAAGATTATTGGAAAAATTATTTTTTATCTAAAGTTTTACCGCTTTAAACACATCCCTTATAATATATGGGTGGAGTTCCGAAAAGGGTCCGTCTCCGATTTTGATGAAACTTTGTGAAAAGCTTCCTTTTGGATTGAACTGAAAGATCCTAAAAGGAATTTTGGCGATTCCTACAAGAAAGTCATTTTTTAAGAGAAAATGGTACTGAATCGATAACTATTTACATTAGCGGATTTACATTTATACTTTGCCGATGACCTTGACTTTCACATATGTTGTAAGATGAGGTTGCTGATTAATATTCACTTTGTTTTATTTGGCGGTCTTGCATAGTTTTTGAGATATTTAACGAAAAAGGTTTATTGAGTTATATGATTTTACATGGATTTATAACTTTCTGCGCGAAGCGAGGTCCATCCCGTATCGCCCTGTGCTTTGGACGCGAAACTAAATCGGAAATAGGTTTGGGTTAGGTTATATCTTCCGGAAGTGAAACCCCCCCCGTAGGGGGGGGGGGCGGAACCCACTGTGTCTACATTATCAGACGTACTTAAGGTATTAATAGCCTAACGACAAGTGTCACAAAAGTTATATTAATTTAAATTGGTTTTTTCTATTTGTTTATATTTTTCGACGAATGATTTTTTAGATCTTTAATATGATCGCAGAGTTGGCCATAAGAGACAGCGTGGAAACTTCCTTGTATGGTTCCGTAATAATTGCAGATTTGGGACATATAACTTTGCATCATATTGCTCAAATGCGACCTCGCATTGTAATGAACGCGCTCTACGCGTGGCAGGGTTGCTACCCTCTAAGAATTAAGTCGCTCAACTATATTAACGTGTTGGAAATTGCTAAAGCACTTATGATAATTATTAGGTATTTTTTTGAACGATAAATTGAAGCAACGATTACACATCTAGACGTGCAAGACAACGCATGATTGTTTTATAAATATGCCAGCTAATATCTTACCTGTTGAATATGGCGGCACTGATGGTACAATTCAAGAATTGACAGGTAATTCATAAACAATAATTATATGTATATAGAATCACTGTATTTCAAATAATTACTGAAGCATTTTTTTGCGGCTGATAGCGATATGAAAGCATTGAATCTATATACATCTATATGAGCTATTTATATTGTATAATATAGTCTCTTACATTTGCAGAATTTTGGAAGAAAGTGGTAGAAGAGAACCGCGATTGGTTTATCGACGATGAAAAATATATGCCAATTTCATAAAAAGAATTAAAGTTTTATGAATTAATATAATTTGCTGAATTGTGCACATTTATTTTTCATGATAAGTATGTTTCACCCATCTTGATCTCGATTTGTAATTGATACGAGAACCACCACCTGGAAACTGCTTTTTCTTCCCTTCTTTTATTAAGAATAAAAGCATTATAAATATAATTACATCTAAGAATTTCTAAGAATATCGGACCATTTGTTGCGAGAAATCACTGCCAATGGAAAGCTGCCAACTTTTGTCTCATTTGGTGTTAAATCAAGAGATACAATAGTGCTTTTTATTAAAATATATATACACAACATTCAAGTAAAATACTCAGTTATATATATTGGATTTTATTGCGAATATAATAACTTTAATACCGAAATATAGTAATAAAATAATTAAATTATATAGTGTTTATAATATTTTGTTACATAATTTGCCGCATTATATATATTTTTTAATATCATTATTTTTATTGGAGAACGAGAGATTTTAATCAACAGAATATATATTTTTATTACGTATACCGAAACACGCCGAAAATTGACTTTGCTCGGAAATCCGAAAATTACGTTACGTAGCGATAGAGTTCATTATACAAATTTATCAACAATTATTTTAAACATTATTTGCTATAACATGCATTATATGCCAATTTTTTTGCGTTGTTCTATTATTAGATAATTAATTTTTTAAGGATATTTTTTTACGTTGCTTTGCAATGTATTTGAAATTACGAAATTCTTATTCAACATTTATGATGAAGTAATCTATCGTAAGTAATATATCGTTTTTATACGTTATATATTTCGCATTATAATTGCTGAGTGAGTAAGAATTTCATGATTTCAAGTGGTAGAAGAGAATCGCAACTGGTTAATCGGTGATGAAAAAAATATAAACCAGTTTTGAAATGTGTAGCAGAATCGAATTAAAATTCTACGTATAAAACATCGAGTTGAAACTATATGAAATCGAAAAAACAATGTAGCGATAAAAAACAGTAAACACGATACAATCGATGCAACGAGCACGAAATAGGATCAAGATTTTTTTATAAAATATATATAGTATGATTAAAATTATATATAAGTAAAATTTTATGTAATTTTTTATTTTAAGAAGAGTTACATTTTGTGAATTCACGTAATTTATTTCGCCCATTCATGTACTCTCATTTCTCGTGATAAGCTTGTTTCATATCTCCATCTTAATTTTTATTTATAATTTATGCGGCGAGAACCCCCTCCCCCTCTCTCGTTCGGCCCGCCACTTGAAAATTGTCCTTTTTTCTCTTTACTAGTTTAAAAATATTTTTACGTTAAATTTCTGAGAACCATTTGTAACAAGAAACCACTGCAAACGAAAGGCACGAACCGCCGTCTCCTTCGGTGTTGAATTACACTGTTGGTGTTCCAAGCGAGGGCAAACAGTCTGAAATCGTTCATCGCGCATGATACCGGCAAGATGTCAGATAGTTTTTGACACTTCTCTCTCAAAAATATGGTTCAGGAGAAAAGGAGAGAGAAAACTCGCTCTTTATTTGATCTGGCAAATATATGTATAAACGTATAAGCTTTCTCATAATATCTTATAGTTTTTTCTGAGAATATTATAAACTTTCTTTTTATAGCTATTCTCTCTCGCAAATATTATATTAACAGATTGATCTTATTTTTATGGAAAATATTATTTTTTTGTAGTATTTATTTTTAATTTGAAAATTAGGTAGTCTATTTTTTATTGTATTTATATCTATTTTTTATGTCTTTTTTGACTTTTGAACGAGAAATTGAAGGTCAATTATTCCTTTTGTTTATCATAATATAATACAAAGGTAACGTGAAATCAATCGAAATCTATTCGTGTTTATGTCTTTCCGCGTTTATTTTCGTGACGAGATTGGACATTCCCTTCTCAGGAATTATAGCTCTGTATTATTACTTGCCAGCCAAACAAACGCCCATTATTTTACTGAAATTTGGCGACATTGTGTCGACAATGGTAAGTTGATATCAGCTGAAGGAGTCCTGGTTGAACACAGGAATTTAAAATTGTTCTCTTTCTTAGAAGAACAGGTTATTATACGAACAACGAATTTAATTATCAAATTTAAAAAATTACATTTTGTGATCTCTTTCACGTCGAATATAAAAGCATTGTAAACCAGATTACCGAAAATTTGATAAAATTTCAAGATGCTATGTATCTGAATCTTTAAGCTTCCAACGTAAAATATCTCTTGCATGCGTCGACTACTGAATTGTGTTACATTTATATTTAAAAAAAAAAAAAAA